GATCAAGAAGGATGAGGACCGAGAAAAGGTTATTAGGTTTGGCAAAGAAGAGCTTATTGGTTATTTTAGAAAGAATGGATCCTGTTGAATGATGAGGTGAGAAGCCAGACTGCAGAGAGTTAAGAAAAGAATAAGAGGAAAGAGAGTGGACACAATAATTAGAGATGGTGTTCTCAAGGAATTCAGCTACAAAAGAGAGGAAAAATAAGGGACAATAGCTAGCAGAAATGGAAGAATCAAATGAAGGTTTGTTGAGGATGGGAAACATATGGGCGTGTTTGTAGGCAATAGAGAAGCAGCTGGTACATAGGAAGAGACTGAAGATTAAGGAGAGAGTGGGGATGATGAAGGGGGCAATATCCTAGAGAAGACAGGATACAATGAGATTAAGGGTGTATGAAAAAAGGGTTTGCCTAGTTAAGAAGGGCTACCTCTCCACTTAAGACAGGGGTGAAGGAGGAGATTTCTGAGCAATGTGAGATGAAGAGGAGAGGAAAAGAGGGAACCCTTGGGACATGGTCTCAGTTTTTTTGTTTGCTTTTTTAGTGAAATATGAGGCAAGGTTCTCAGTTAAGATGGTGAATAAAAGAATGTAGCATTTGTTAAGATTTGTCTACATAAAAGTAATTTGCTAAGTGCTGAAGGTACATATAGGAATGTAAGACAGTCCCTGCTCTCAAGGAGCTCATATTCTATTGGAGGAGACAACACATATGGGAGGTTTCAGGGGCAAGTCAGATGGAAAAGTCCCATGGTCCTTAGGCTATAACAGCAAAGCAGATTATAATGCTTCTTCTTTTGTGGAATTTCCATGGATAACGTCCTATCAATTTCTGAAGTTGGACCATTTGATATTGCCAAGAACTTTGGTAGCAAGAACTTTTCTTTTTGGGTCCTCAGTATTTGTGGCTAGGTTGCACCTCTATAGGGGTTGCTTCCTATGATGATGGCTGTGGGCAGTGGCCTGGAAGCATTGCTAGTCCCAAAGCTCTTGGACTCAGGGTTCTGGGCTGTCTCAATCAAGGTCCAAGGGGAGACATTGGTTAAGGTGGTGGTAGTGGTTTGACTTGTTTGGCACATGCTACCTGCTATCTCTCCCTCAGGGTGCTAGACTGTCTCGCTCCCTCTATGGAGAGAAAAGGGGCCATAGGAGCTTTGACGAGGGATGAAAAAGTTTGGAAAAGTTGCTGTGGTAGGTGGAATAGTGAATACATTAAAGAGATATAAAATTATAAAATGTCAAAAAACAAGATTGTTTTTTGCAGTGAGGGCCCAGTTGGATGTTGATGGTTTTAAGTCTCAGCCTCCTAGCAAAGTGTAACAGTAGTTATAGATTCCAAAGATTATTTTAAATCTTTCTACCAATGTAAGCTTCTGAGTCATGCGTGTTAAGCATTTCTTTTCTATATAGGAATAAATATCTATCTATAACTGATTTATATTGTACATTGAGTATCTTTCTAGTTACTGTCCATTTTGAGAAGACATGAGCCAAACCTAAGATATATGTAATTTTCCCTGTAGTGCCAACATGGAAACCTAAGGAGTGAAAGAATGGGAAAAGAAGAGCACAACCTTTCTTTTAGTTGGTTAGGCTCCCTCAAGATTGAACCTGTGCTATGTATGCCTGGGTCTAGAGCTTAGCAGAGAGGAGGGTGAAGTGCTCCAGCCCCTCTTGGGCTCTGCAGGCAGCACTGCAAATTATTAGACCTAATTTTCCTAAAAACAACTTGCAGATTTACAACTTTTATAACAAGCATAAAATTGCCTTCTTGTGCCTTTGCCTCAAATGCAGGGATTATGTCATACTTCTTTTGAGTCCTTTGGCAAATGTATGATTTCTGGTAAATACCTGACGATTAGTCATTCAGTTCAACATTTATTAAACATTAAGTTAAGCCCTTGGGCTAGGCAATGTAGAAGGAAGGACAAAAATAAAATAGTCCCTGCCTTCAGGAAACCTATATTCTTTACCATACATAGATAAGCAAATGCAATTATTTTGAGGACAGAGTATCAACAACTTGAGGACATAAGGGAAGGTTCCACAGAGGAGGTGGCAACTGAGCTGAGCCTAAGGTAGGTAGGAATTTAAGAGGCACTCACGAAGAAATGATGTCTTCACAGACATTATGGGAGGCAATCATGAAGACAGTGCATTTCAGTGTATGGGGACAGCTTGTTAGTATGGAGATCTAGGCCAGAGATAGAACGTCAAGTTTGGGGAACACTTAACAGTCCTGTCTGTCAATCACAAAAAAAGGTTGGGATCAAACTATGTCCAAAGGGCATAAAACTGTGCATTACCCTTTGACCCAGCAATACCACTACTGTCTATATCCCAAAGAGCTCAAAGGAAAAGGAAAAGTGTAATGCAGAACATTATTTTATCATTTTAGGTAGTAGGACCCTTTAAGCTATGGAAATCAGAAATTCCTGCTTAATCTTGCCCCAGACCTCTCTCCTCCTAAATCTAAACAATAGTGAAATGTTCTCTTGCATAGCTCAGCACAGCCCATACCGCCAACGCAAATGGGTAAGAAAGCTTGCAATATAATTGCTTTAGATAATTATGTTTATACCAGAGACCAGGACACCTGGTCTGGTTTGTGTGATCCCTGACCTGTAATGATGGGGTGCTCGGGTGCTTGTACTTGTGCCCCAATTTCTCCCTCGTCTCAGAAACACTGTCTCTGACAACCACAGGACACTGTGCCCAGCAGTTATTCATGCATAGGCCTCAGCATGACCCTTATCTCTCTTGCTGGTACAGCTACTCAGAGCTGGGCTGCTCAGACCCCAGCCCTCAGATCACGTCTCTGGAAGCCTCCCAATTCCTTAGTAAGAAAGCTTTCCCTTGTTGCAGAGCATTCTCTCATCAAGACAGAGGGAAAAGGGTATCCTTGGCCAGCCCAAGGACTCTTCCTCCTGCCAGACTCCAAAGATCCATACCTCTGTCATCTCCCTCCCTGTTCAGTATACTCCCTGTACTTTCCCATCCATAGCCCCCCCCAAAGACACCTGCACTTTTGGATTACCTCATCAGTGTTCCTGGCATTTCTTTCCCATGCTCTTTTCCATATAAACCCTGGCTGGACCCCTGATTGGGGCTGCTTGATTTGGGTGCGCCTTGCAGCCGTGTGCTAATAAATCCACATTTTAAATTACATCTGGGTCTCGCTCGCTGATTTCTTGGTACAACAAAAGGACATTTATATATCTGTGTATATATACTTACATATGTGTATATATACACATACATATACAGATATACATATATACACATATATAATTAATTTATATACATACATATATACACATGCACATATATAATACACACACATAATTTATATATACATACATACACAAATATACATATACATACATACATACATATATATACATATATACACACACACACACACACACACACGCATACATACAAAACTATTTATGGCAGCTCTTTTAGTGGTGGTAAAGAGTTGGAAACTGAGAGGATGCCTATCAATTGGGGAATGGCTGAATAAGTTGTGGTATATGATTGTGATGGAATACTATTGTGCCAGAAGAAATGAAGAGCAGGATGTTTTCAGAAATACCTGGGAAGATTTACACAAACTGATACAAAGCGAAATTAGCAGAATCAGGAGAACATTATACACAGTAACAGCAGTATTGTATGATGTTTGACTGTGAATGACTTAGCTATTCCAATTAACTCAAAGATCCGAAACAATTCTGAAGGACTTATGATAAAAAATGCCATTGACCTCCAGTTAGAGATGATGAAGTTTGAATACAGATTGAAGCATAATTTTTTAACTTTTAAATTTTTTTTTGCTTTTTTTTTTTGTAAAGTAGCTTAATACGGAACTTATTTCACATATCTAATTGATATCACGGTTTCTTGCCTTCCCAGTGGGTGGTAGAGGGGCAGAAAGGAGTGTATTAAGAACTCAAAATTTTAAAAAAGTTACAATAAATATTTTTAAAAATAGTATTTTTTAAAAAAAGTAGACTATATATTTGTTAAAGGTTGGGACCCAGATTAAGAGGAACTTTAAATGACAAGCTAAGGAGTTTCTATTTTATGTTAAAAGTGATAAGAGAATATATTGCAGACTTGGGTGTCAGGGAAGACACCCAATCAAGACTGTGCCGTAAGATTATTTTGGCAGCTCTTTGAAAGATAATAGTAATAATTATGGACATCTTTCCTGATTCCCCCCTTAATTTTAGTGCTGTTCCTCTGAGGTTATCTCCAGTTTATACTGTATATAGATTTTGGGCAACAATATAGACTTTCAATAGTTACAAAATTAGTATCAATCAATAAACATTTATTTAGCGCTTACTATGTGTCCTTACACTGTCCTAAGAGCTGGGGATACAAAAAACATACAAACAAACAAAGCAAGAGAGCTCCCGCCCTCAATCTAACGCTTGTGACGCGGTCCTTCACGTCCTTTGTAGACTGGCCACTGCTGGAGAGCTCGGACCAAAGCAGCACCGCTTGGGAAAATCACTAGCTCTGGAAAATTCCCAAGAAACCTTTCTGCCCTGGGAAAAGGGCGCCTGCCCTCACCCAATATGGCGGCAGAAGGGACACATTCAGTCACGTGTCCTCCCCCAACGTTCCAAGGACTATATGTCCTCTTCGAATTTCCGTTAGAGCCGGAAGCTGGGGGGCGGGCACTTTCCTGTAGCGCTCCTCGTGTTTGCGGCCGCGGGAGCGGGGTCTTTTCTCCAAGTCGGGGCACTTCGTAGCCGGCACCATGGTGAGTAAGGTTGGGCCCCAGGGGAAAGCGAGGCCTGGGTTGGGGAACAGGCCAGGACGTGTTGGGGACAGGGCCGGGCCAGGGACCGGGGATGGCGGGGATAGTGAGAACACTGCAGAGGGCGGGGCCGAGCGACCAAAGAGGTCAGAGGTCAGGGGCTTGCACGGGGTGTGAGTTGGGGGGAGGGTTGTCTGGTTCTCTGTCTTTGAGGTGGAGGAAGTGAAGTCAGATCAACAGAAATTAAGCACTTATTCTGTGCTAGATTCGGCGCTAAATGCTGGAGATACAAAGAAAGGCAGAAGACAGACCCTGCTCTCAAGGAGCTCCCAGTATAATGGGGAAAACGATAAGCAAACAATCATGTGCTTGCAAGCTATTTACAGGATAAATTGGAAGTGATCAACGGAGGGAAGGGACTAGTACTAAGGGGGATCGGGAAAGACTTCTTGCAGAAGGTAGGATTCAGCTGGGACTTGAAGAAAGCCAGGAAATTTTTAAAAATAGAGAGCGATATGAGGGGGGAATGAATTGCAGTCATGAAGGAAGGGCCAGTGAAAATTCCCAAAATAGGGAAATGAGGTGTCTTGTTGAGAGACGACAAGAAGGCCAATGTCCCTTGAATCAAAGAGTATGTGGAGAGGGGTAAGGGGAAGAATTTTTAAAGTCTGAGGGCTTTGTATTTGATTCCGGAGGTAATAAGGAACCATGGGGAGGAGGGCAGGTGTGCATGCAGTGATGTGGCCAAACCTGCACTTTAGGAAGATCGCTTTATAGCCAGTGGAGGACGGAGTTGGGAGAGAACCTGAGGCAGGCAGAGCAGTCACAGTGATATGAGGGTCTGAGTCAAGGGTGCAGAGTCAGAGGAAAGAAGGGGGTATAAACAAGAGATGTGGTAAGGGTATCTGAGTTTTGGGTGGGGTGTGGAGGATGACAGGATCACAGAATTGGGTCAGAGGTCATAACTCTATTCCTAGGGTTTAAGAGCCTAGAGTGTGTTTGTATGGAATATCAAAATCGTGTAATGGGGGCAGGTCAAGGCTGGGACATTTGGAAAGGGATAAAAGGTTCACGATCTCACGGTGGTGGGGAAGCCCTGCTGGATCTTGGCTTTGTAGAGGGAGTAGAGAATGGCTGGAAAGGGAACATGGGAAGAAAAAGTACCTGGTGGGAAGTAGTCAGTCCAGGGCCCAGAGTCAATATTTTTTGCTCTCAATTCCCACAGACGGTGGGCAAGAGCAGCAAGATGCTGCAGCACATCGACTACAGGATGAGATGCATCCTGCAGGATGGCCGCATCTTCATCGGCACCTTCAAGGCCTTTGACAAGCACATGAACCTGATCCTGTGTGACTGTGATGAGTTCAGGAAGATCAAGTGAGGAGGGGGCTGGGTTGGGAAGCTTGGGGTGTGAGGAGGGGAAGGGAGTGTGGAGGGCAGGTAAGCTAAGCTTCTTGTACTTACACTTACAGAACTCTAACAGATTCTTCTTTGTTTTAGTTCTGAACACCATTCCCCTCCCACTTATCCCCACCCCCAACTTTAGTGGATTTTGAGGAGACATTTATGCCCAGACATCATGTACACTTAGATGTTTACCAGCACCATCACCTGGAAATGATAAAAGGAAGCACAGTACAGTGGGAGGAGCCTTGGTCTTGGGATAGATGATAGCTAAATAAAACATTTATTAAGTTCTTAATATACCAAGTACTGTGCAAGGGAGTCATGAGGTCCTAGATTTCTGTAGGCATATAGCCCTGAGCGCCCGGTTCTATAGAAATGGACTTTTGGTGGACGTTTATGTCTAGGCTGAGTTTCCCCATCTGTAAAATAAGGGAGTTAGACTAGATCAGGCCTTTGCAACCTGCCGCCAGGCCACTTACAACCCTCAGATCACTTGCAGCAAGCACACCAAAGGATGTTTTCTGCTACATTTTTCGATGGGAGATGGAAATCCTTTGGTGCTGCGAGCACCCTCAGGCTGAAGGTTGTGTAGACCTGGACTAGATGGTCTTTAAAGTCCTTTCTAACAAAATTCACAGTCCTTTCCCTCATGGAATTTGGTCTAGTAACTCTAACATTCCATCCGTGTTCTTTTTTTGGTGTTCTAGCTGAGGCCTTTGGTTCTGTGATTCCCATTGTGTCTTTTGGAGAGAATACTTAAGTTATCTGGAAAAGGGTCCCTCCTATTCATTGTTTGTTAAACTCCCAGTTCCTTAAGTTCCAGAACTTTATTCCCAATAAACAGTGACATTTAATGAAATATATTCATGTCTTTATTTTAATTTTTATCTTTTAGTTTTTTCATCAAGTTCATTTCCAAATATAGTTATTCCCCCATCCCTTCCTCCAGTAGGCTGCATTTGTTACAAAGTATAAAAAGAAACAAGGAAAAAATGTCAGTTTAGCAAAATTACCCAATACATGATGAGTTGTGCTTATTTAGTGAGTGGTATGCTTTGAAGTAAATTCACTTCAACTTAGCAAACATTTATGAAGCTTCAGTACTATGAAGCCAAAATAGTCTCATGTAATAATATATATTATATTGTTCTCCTAGCCTCTGTCAGAGGGCTGTGATTCTGTGAGGTCATCTTCAGGTGAAGGCATCTTGTACTGTGGTTAAGGATTTTAAAGGGGGAGCTGATATTCACATTTAATTAACTGTGTTCTTTGTGTAAGACACGTGCTTCAAACTCCAACAAGTATAATGAGGAATAAGACTCGGATCCTGTTCCCAAGGAGCTTATAGTCTAGTAGATGGAATATCAATTATACAAACATCTATAATGTAATATTTAGAATGTGATTCACGCTAAAAGAGGTATAGAGTGCAGTTTGAGTATTTATTAAGATTCCTGTTATGTGAAGTTCTGCTCTAACTCTACATAAGGCTGGATTTTAAATTCTATCTACTGGTGACTGGCTGTGTGACCTTAGACTAGGTTCTTTCCTCTCAGGGCCTAATTTTCCTCTTCTGTAAAATGAGGGGATAATATGGTTTCTGAAGTCCCTTCCAGCACTTAAATCTTGTGTTCTAAGGGCCCTTCCAGTTTTAACATTCTGTGTTCTAAGGTTCCTTTCAGTTCTGACATGCTATGTTCTATGTTTTAAGGACCTGTCCAGCTTTAACATTCTATGATTCTAAGTCTTCCAACGTTAAGGAACCCAGGACTCCTTGAGTAAGTTATGGGCCTAGTGACAAGGTGAAGGTTTTGAGGGATCCTAGGAAGCCTAGGTGCATAGAATTGCCTGTGTTGTGCAGGCCATATTCAACAGCCTGTTTCACTAACATACGTATTTCTGTCCTTCAGGCCAAAGAATGCAAAACAACCTGAACGTGAGGAAAAGAGGGTTCTGGGACTGGTGCTGCTTCGTGGGGAGAACTTGGTCTCTATGACTGTGGAAGGCCCACCACCTAAAGATGTAAGGCAGAAGGGTTGGGAAAGGATAGGGAGGGGAACCCTCATCGGGGTCTGGAGGTACCCATCTTAAGAGGCTATAAAACTAAGAGGATGTTGTGTTTGTGCCTCTTTCTGAGTCAGCTGGGTGTTTAGAAGCCAGAAAGTAGCTATAGTGATTAATAGGTGCCTAGCACTTAAGTTTGGCTAGCCTTAATTAAATATTCTGACAAAGTTAGAATTACTAAGTGGATTAGAATCAATCTAGAGATTTTATTGTTCATTGAGATAATAAATATTAAAGTCTGGAAGAAATTTGAGTAACAGGACCATCCTCACCCTTGTGAGTGTCATTTAAATGCTGGTTTGAACAACTTTCTTCTCCATTCCCCTCATAGGTGCCCTCCACTCCTATGTGAAAGGAGCAAGGTAACAGGGAATATTTATGTTTTGACTAGATGACATTCAATTTCTAAAGTCAAGGTGTTAAGCTAGGTGATCTGTAAGGTCTTCCAGCTCTGATTTCTGTGATTCTAGGAATGATCCCCAGCCTTGATGCTCTATGTTCTGAGGTCCTTCTTGGCTGTTTCTGATGTGCTATGTTCTATTGAGATTGGATTAGATGATCTGTGAAAGTCCTTTTCATTTCTAAATTAGAATCTTGTACCCTCATTTGTTCTTACACCCACCTATGAGGCTGTTTATGCAAGGCAAGTCACTTAGCCTTGGTCAGCCTCAGTTTCCTCATCTGTAAAATGAGGATAATGATAGCATTCACTTTATAGGATTGTTGTGAGGAATCAAATGAGTTAACAGGTAAATCACTTTGCAGACCTTAAATTTAGCTCAGTATGAATGTTAGCTGTTATTATTGTTGCTGTTGTTGTCATAGAGAAGGTATTTGTTCATTTATGGGTTGAACTAGGTGGCTTCTGAGAATTCTCCCAGTGCTGAGAGCCTGTTTTCCCATGAGGGCCCTTCCATTGGTAAAAGTCTATAAATCTCTGAGCCACATATCAGAAAAATGGGGGTTACAGCTTTAGGATTTCTCTTTTGAAAGCTTGTAGACCGTTAATATCCACAGGTCATCAATGACTATATCCAAGTATTAAGAGCACAGGAAAGTGTACAGAGCACTATAATTACACAGGCCTAACACTGCCTCCCTCGGACACCCCACGTGATATGACCATAGCCAAAGTGATTTTCATTTCACAATATCATTAAAGCTTTATGACCAGACTCCACAGTAATATTTCCTGGCTCCACTGTACCTGTCATCCAAGATGTGAATTGGACTGTTGGTGTGAACAGAACATACCTGAGCTGTATTAGTTCTCTGACACCATTCTGATCAAGGTCCTATTTATAGTACTGTTCCCGTGGCAACATTCCCCAAACTCATTTGGTCATAAAATGCTTTGGGACTTGAAATGTCTGTCTGTCTGTCTATCTATCTATCTGTTTGTCTGTCTATGTATCTTGGTGGAATCCATTAATGCCAACCTATATTTCCAAAGGAATAAAGGTGTCTTAATGAAATTTTGTAGTGAAATAGGAGAAAAAAATATATTTTTCATGCTGGAAAATTACTGCATGTAGTATGTATGTTTGATACATTTGATATTTCATAGGGGAAGATTGTCACTATTGTTGAAATTTTGTCCTTGAATCCTTCTTTGTATTGTTTGGAACATTAGGATTTCATAGGTCAGAGTTCAGGAAATGCAGTTGTTTATGAAGGAACTGAAGATGTTTAATGCCGAGAAGAGAAGGCTTGGGAGGGGGTAGAAATGGGAAACACAAAACTGATGTCTTCACACGTTGGAATGGGACTATCTTGGGCAACAGCCATTAGATTTATTCTGTTTAGGTCTAAAAGACAGGGCCAAGAGGAGCAGTGGCAGAAGAGGCATGTTTCAGCTTAATGTAACTCTCCCCTCCATGTTTTTCTTGTTTTATAATTATCCTGAGAGCATTTAAGGAACTCATGGAAAAATGCTGGCTAATGGAGGATTTTGGTTGATAAAATGCTGCATAAGCCAAGGCTTATGTTCCATCTTGATAATATGGTTTCATGAATATTCATAAAAGTGTGTGAGCTATGGTTTATAAACTTTTTGTTGTTGCATATTTGGGTATTGACCACAGGCTACGAGCATGGGAAGTGGTGTTTGTGGTTTATGAGGGCCTACTGACATTTTGTGTTCCTGCACTCAGTATTGAACTTCAGTTGCTAGCCTGCCTGCAAAATATGGTCATACTTAGTGTTTGCTACTCCATAAATGACTTCTTATGTTTTTCTCTTTTTAGACAGGCATTGCCCGTGTGCCGTTAGCTGGAGCTGCAGGAGGCCCTGGGATTGGCAGGGCTGCAGGCAGAGGTGTGCCAGCTGGTGTTCCCATGCCCCAGGCTCCTGCAGGCTTAGCAGGACCTGTCCGGGGAGTTGGGGGGCCTTCCCAACAGGTGAGGAGCTGGGTGATCATGACATCTTCCATCAGTTGATGAATAAGCTTTTATTAAATGCCTACAATGTATAACGGGCTCATTTTGTCAAGGGAAATAAAGTCAGGGCATAGATATTGGGAAGCATCTAAAGGATAGGTTCCATAAATAGCAGGTGTGTTAAGGCCTTAAATCCCAGAGTATATTCCTGGAGAGTACAACCAGGTATTTGGGACAGCATTTGAACCTTTTTCTTGGAATGCTGTAGGTAACAATCCAGTTACTGAGTAGAGCAAAGCCCTGGTGATATCTCCCCTCTCCTCTTCTCACTTATCCCAATTTCTCCCGTAGGATTTATTGTACATAATAAATACATAATGAATGAGGAGTGTGAATAATCCTCCATTGGATTATAAGCTTTGTGAGGGTAGGATCTATGTTGTATTTCATTTTATATGGGGTGGGTTGTGGGTGAACTTCCTTTTTTTTCTTTTTTTTGGCATTTGGGGTTAAGTGACTTGCCCAAGGTCACACAGCTAGTAAGCGTTAATGTGTCTGAGGCTGGATTTGAACTCAGGTCCTCCTGAATCCAGGGCTGATGTTCTATCCACTGCGCCACCTAGCTGCCCCCGGGGTATTTATTTTCTTATTTTAAACATTTTTGTTGATATCTTTTATTCTTATATCACTTAACATTTCTGAATATATCCTTTGCTCTCTTCCTCCCAGAGAGCCATCCCTTATAACAAAGAATAAAAAAGAGGGGAAAAAATGTTGAGTAAAACTAGCCAGAACATTAAAAAGGTCTTACATTCCCTGTCATGTTCCAAGCCTACAGTCCCCTATCTTTGCCAAGAAGTAAAGGAGGTGCTTTCTCACAGCTTTTTTTTTTTTTTGCAGTAGAGGTTAAGCGACTTGCTCAGGCTCACACAGCTAGCTACTAAGGGTCTGAGGCCGGATTTGAACTCAGGTCCTCCTGACTCCAGGACTGGTGCTCTATCCATTGCACCACCTAGTTGCCCCCACACAGCTCTTTTTAAGACCGAACTTGGTCACTATAATTTCACCAGTTGCAGAGGTTTTGTTGTTCTTTTGCTTTATGTTGTGGTTAATGTGTATATTATTTTCCTGGCTCTGCCTACTTCACTTTGTATTAGTTCATATAAGTCTTCCCTTGCTTAATTATAGTCATCATTCCTTGCAGCACAATCATATTCTATTCATATTGTACATCTTGTTTAGCAGTTCCTCAATCATTTGAGCATTTATTTGGTAGTCAAGTTGACAAGTATTTATTAAGTACTTATTATGTGCTGGGAACCATACACTGCTATATGTATTTTAGTGCATATGGTGCCTATTTTATCATTTACATTCTTGTGGTATATGCCTAGTGGTTGAAGACATTTTAGTCACTTTCTTCTACATAATTCCAAATCGCTTTCCAAAATGGTTGTGCAAATTCACAAATCCACCAATGCTGCTTTAGTGTGCTTGCCTACGTTTCCACAAATCTAATTTCCATCTTTTGTTATCTTTGCTAATTTGTTAGTTGTGAGATGGAACTTCAGAATTGTTTTGATTTGGATTTCTATTGTTATTATTAGTTGTGGAGCATTCTTTCCTATGGTTGTTAATATTTTCCAGTTTTTTGAGGCTTTTTTTGGTCCCTATTTTTTGTCCAAATCTTTTGACCACTTACGTATTGAGGTTTTATAGCTAAGTGTTGCAATGGATTGAATTCTGGACTTGCAGATATGAGCTGAAATCCTGCCTTTGACCATAGCTGTGTAACTCTGGGCAAGTCACTTAAGCTATCCTTCTCAGTTTCCTCATCTGTAAAGTGGAGGTTATAATGGCATCTACCTCCCAGGGTAGTTGTGAAGGTAAAATGTCTGTATGTCTCAGTTCTATCAGCAAGCATTTATTAAGTATTCATAACATGCCAGGCATTATGCTCGGGTCCAGGAATACAAAGACAAAAATGAAACAGCCCCTGCCCATAAGCTTACATTCTATCAGGTGCGACAATAGATACATAAGTTAGTATATATAAATACATATAAAATAAATAAAAAGTAATTTGGGGAGGGAAGGCACGAGGAGCTGATGGGTACGTAAGCTGAGTCTTGAAGGAAATAAAGGATTCTAAGAGGCAGAGGTAAGGTGGGAGTGAATTTCAGGCATGGGAAAAGAAAGAAGAATGGAGTGTCCTATGTCAAGAACTTTAAGAAGGCAAATTTGGCTAGGTTGTCGCATGCGTGAAGGGGGAAGTAACGTACATATAATGAGAGAAGTGTTTATTTAAATCAAGGGAGTTTGGGGCCTGATTATGAAGTGCTTAAATGAGAAACAGTTCATTTATCTTTGATCCTGAAGGCCAGTAGGGAGCCACTGGAGTTTTGAGTAGGGTAGTAACAGTGTCAGACTTGACTCCTGAGGCAATTTACTTTGGCAGGTGATTGATTTGAAGGGTCAAGGAGAGTGAGAAGTCAGAGGTAGTAAGCATTTGATAAATGTTGAATTGACTTGAATCCCTGTGCTTCAAAGTTCAGAATCCCCCAGTTGCTGAGTGGTGTTCCTAGCAGAGAACCGGTCAATTATTTATGGAGTTCCAGGTAGTAGTATTCTATTAATTCTTCATTAATTCTAATAATAGTTCATATCTCTATAAACTTTAGCTTTTTTACAACTACCCTGTGACGTAATAGACAAAGCAAATCTAATTATTGCCATTTTACAGATGAAAGGTTAAATGATTTACTCAATGTCACAGAGCAATAAGCATTGAGTAAAGAGGATAAATTAATTTTGAAAAAGTATTTATTAAGTGTTTACTACATGTTAAGTATTAGGCTAAACACTGTGAATACAGATAGAAAAGAGACAGTCTGTGCCATCAAAGAGCTTTCATTTCAATGAGGAGAAACTGTACCTACAGGGGAGTGGGAGAGGTCCCTGGGATGGTGATTGAGAGGGGAGTAGCCATGGCAAAGGGTGGGAGAGCTTAGGGGCAGTGTAGGGGACTGTGCTTGAGGCATTAGGCAGGAAAGAGGTCAGGTGAAAAGTGAAACCTGACTGGGTGCACCAGATGAGGTACTCACCAGTCACGGTGGCACAGCTCTGGACCTGCAAAGTTGAGGGACCGGGGCGTGGTCTCTGCTGCAGAGGGTTCAGAGGCCGGCACCAAGATAGTGAGGGTGTGAGGTGGAGCGTACGTTCGTTCTGACTCCAAGTCTTCCCATTGGAAGTGAAACTGTGTATTAGGTTCTGGAGGGCATGTAAAAGAAATATAAGATGAATTCCCTTCACGAAAGCTTTCCTCAGTTTTTAAAATTTAGTTTTTTAAAATAAATGAACTTGGCAAACATCAACATTTCCTTATATAAGGAACAGCAAAGTGAAACAAGTCACGCAAAACAAATCTGCATATTGGTTATATCTGATGCTGAACTTCTTGTCTACCAGTAGTGGTGGGAGCAAGGTTCTTTATCAGTCTTCTGGAGTTGTGGTTGGTCATTTCAGTAATTATAGTGCTTAAGTCTTTCACGTTGACTTCCTTTACATTGTTTTAATTGCTGTAAACATCGTCCTGGTTCTGTTTACTTCACTCAATGTTAGTTCATACAAGTCCTCCCAGATTTTTCTCATTCTTTTCCTTTCATCACTTTTCTGGCCCAATAATCCAATTCATACATATAATAATAATAATCCCATTCGTATTCATCCCATTCAAATTCGTACAACACAGTTTGTTTAGCCGTTCTCCAATTGATGAAGACCCACTTTGTTACAACAAAAAGTTCTGCTATAAATGTTTTTGTGCATATGGAAAGGAAGAATAGAGCCAGATGGTGCAGGATCTTGAACACCAGTCCACAGACCATGAAACAACATCGCCAGAACCATGCAGCCCTTGTAATGTGCAAAATGAGCTGAGGAGACCAGGGGCCAGCAAAACCACTAGGATGCTATTACCTTTCCTTCTTTCTTTGATCTCTTTGGGATATGTGCCTACTAGCAATTTCTCTTGGTCAAGGCTGTGCACAGTTTAGTGACTTTTAGGGCTATAGTTTGAAACTGCTTTCCAGAATGATTGGATCATTTCAAAGGTTACTGAATGTGCCAGTCCTTCCACATCCTCTCCAACAATTGTCATTGTCTTTTTTTGCCTTTGCCAGTCAGATGGATGTGAGATGGAACCTCAGAGTTGTTGTTTTTTTAATGCACAATCACTGTATTTTAACATTTTATCTAATTACTACCACCTATAAAGTAGCAAAACATCACATGAATTTTCGTGAAACTTAGGATGATTGAAACTAATCAATAAATTAATATTTACAGTTTCCATGGGTGCAGTCGACTTTACTATTTCCCTTCTATATTTGGAAAACATGGTTAGCTTACTGTTCTGTGGAGACAGATATCAATATGAGGATCCTCATTAATTTTACAGGCAAAAGAGCTCAGTAAATCTTTGTACTGGAAAAAACACTATTTTCTCAGAGATCTCACCATTTACTTTGTGACTATTCTAATCTGGAACCAGCTTCCAGTATTAAAAAGCAAACCAGAAATTCATCACCAACAGAAAACTTAATTTGATGTTTATAGCTTTATCCTTAGTCTCTCTTTTATTTAAAAGTTGGTTGTTCTTCCTAGTCTTCATTTTCTTTTGCAAGTCAAGTTTTAAAGATTTCTAACCATTTTCCCAGTTTTACTCATTCTTACATTTAGCCAAATTAAATGAGAATGCTGAGTATTTCGTACACTTCAAAAGTCCTTAATAGTTTATTCATTGTATTTGGAGATTTTCAGTTTTCTTATTGAGGAAAAAATAATCCATAGCTCAACCTTATAGATTGTCCATCTCCTGCTTCTACTATACAATCATTGGTAGTAAATTTTGGTATATGTTGTCTTAATTTCTATCGCATGAGGAGTGAAAAATCATCAAGAAAATCAGTAGCTATCATGTGGAAAGTCTTGAAAGTTCATGTTTTTCCCTCAGGGTTCAGTCGTTGTCTTTCAGCCACTCCTCAATCTATTTCATTATCTGATCTGTCTCTATATCTCTATAGTTCTTCTGGTTCGGTGCTGGGCAGCTAGTGCATTATTTCATTCCTGCAAGAGGCCATGGCTTCTTCATAAAGGATTTGGAAAATTTCACATTGAATATTGTGCTGTAGATTCTTTACATTGTATCGGCTGTTTTCAAGGCTTTAATATGGAATTGTCTGTTTGGAGTACAAAAAGTATATGAAACCGTAGTTGGAAGGAGAAGTCACAGCCATGGTAATTAACAATAACTCTACTACTTTCTTTCATTTTATCTTCTACTCATCAAATACTCTGTCTTCATCCAAAAAGAAACATCCAAAAATCATCCACATTATGTATGTCAGTCATGTTCTCTTTTTTTTAATTAAAAAAAAATTATTAATTTATTTTGATTTATCAACACCTCACATATGCTTTTGAGTTTAAAGTTTTTCTCCCCACCACCATCCCCAAGACAGCACACAATCTAATATAGGCTATACATTTACATTCCTATTAAACATATTTTCACATTAGTGATGTTGTAAGTAAAAATTAAAACCAATAGGAGGAACCATCAGAAAGAGGAAACAAAACTCAACAGAAGAGGGAAAAAAAAGATAGCAATTCAACTTCCATAGTTCTTTCTTTGGATGTGGATAGCATTTTCCATCACAAGGCCTCTGGAGATGTCTTAGATCCTTGTATTGCTGAGAAGGGTTAAGTCTATCAATATTAGTCAGTCTCACAGTGTGGCTGTTACTATGTACAACGTTCTCTGGGTTCTGTTCACTTCACTCAGCATCAGACCATACAAGTCTTTCCAGGTTTTTCTAAAGTCTACCAGCTTATCATTTCTTATGGAACAGTAGTATTCCATTACATTCATATACCACAACTTGTTCAGACATTCCCCAGTTGATGAGCACCCTCTCAATTTCCAATTCTTTGCCACCACAAGAAGAGCTGCTATGAATATTTTTGTATCTGTGGGTCCTTTTCCCATTTGTATGATCTCTTTGGGATACAGCCCTAGAACAGCTATTGCTGGGCCAACGGGCATGCATATTTTTATAGCCCTTTGGGCATAGTTCCAAATTGTTCTCCAGAATGGTTGGATCATTTCACAACTCCACCAACAATGCATTTGTGCTCCCATTTTCCCTCATCATCTCCAACATTTATCATTTTCCTGTTTTGTCATGTTGGCCAATCTGGTAGGTGTGAAGTGGTACCTCAGAGTTATTTTGATTTGCATTTCTCTAATCAATAATGATTTAGAGCGTTTTTTCATATGACTATAGATGGCTTTAATTTCTTTATCTGAGAACTGTCTCTTCATATCCTTTGACCATTTATCAGTTGGGGAATGGCTTGTGTTCTTATAAATTTGTCTTAATTCTCTATATAGTTTAGAAATGAGGCCCCTGTGTCAGTCCTGTTCTTGATGCAAGTTGTGGTCTTTCCAACCCTGCACCTTATGGTTGAAGGGGTCTGACTCCACTGGACTGCCTGCTCTCTACTCAGAGACAAGAGAACGAGGCTTCTCAGAATTGTTTTATTTCACTTTTCTCATTGCTAGTGATTTGGGGCCATTTTTCATATGGTTATTAATTACTCTCTTATCTTTTAAGAATTGCCTGTTCCTCTCCTTTGATCATTATTTATTAAAAAATGACTTATTCTTACACATTTGAATCACTTCACCATTATGTTTTATGTATCACACTTTTGCTAGAGAAATTTGTTTAAAAGGCTTTTCCCTCCAACTAAAATGTTGTAATTCATACTATGTTGATTTAGCTTTTGCAAAACCTTTTCAGTTTTATCTGACTTTTCTGTTAATGGCACTACCCCCTTCTCAGTCTCCTAGGTTTGAAATTTCAGAGTCATTTTTGATTATTCTCTCTCCATCACCTTCCCCCAACATCCAACTAGCTGCCAAATTCTTTCTGTTCTATATCTGAGCATGTCTCCTACCTTTTCTTCTGTTTCATTCTTACTGCTACCCTCTAGTTCAGGCTCTTGTTTTCTCTTGACTTGGAGTGTGGGAATAACATCCTAGTGGTTTTGTTGGCCTCTGGTCTCCCCAGCACATTTTGCACATTACTAGGGCTGTCTTATTATTGCGTGGTTTTGGCCATGTTGTTTCATGGTCTTTAGACTGGTGTTCAAGACCCTGCACCATCTGGCTCCATCCTTCCTTTTAGTCTTATCCCATATTGCCTTAAAGCATTAGAGAAATGTGAAATGGTGATGATGAATGTCTACTTTACATTCCTAACATACCAGCTATAGCACTGTTCCCTTTCTTGTTTTCCTGGTGTTTTGCCCTCCTGCATTTGTTCATATCACATTCCCAGTTATCTTTTTATATGTGTTTATTGCAGTTTGTGAGGGGGTGCAGTGTGTAGATCCTTCTTCCTTGGGTTTCCCAAACACTTCGTTTTATACCCATCTGATGTTTAAATTATATATTATTATAGCCATCTGTATTGGTATTTTATTCTCAGACTAAGGCTGATGAAGGCAGGGTTCATGTCTTTTCTAGACTTGGTATCTCCTCCCGTGCCCTCCATATAGTAGGTGCTTAATAAGTGCTTGTATTTTTATTTGTGTTTTACTGTTATCACTCTCTGTACCTTCTTAGGTGATGACCCCCCAGGCGAGAGGGACTGTAGCGGCTGCTGCGGTTGCTGCCACGGCCAGTATTGCAGGAGCTCCAACACAGTATCCCCCTGGTCGAGGAACTCCTCCCCCACCTGTGAGCCGAGGGACACCTCCTCCAGGTAAGGCATCCTTGGATAGAAGCTGTACTGGTTGGTAGTTAAGGCCTCAGCTGGATTGGTGATGAAACATAACTATGTCTGAACCTGATGAAGAGTTTGAATTACTCAGCAGGATTACTCTGAGGTCCAGCCTGGATGATTGTCCAGAGGCTTACGTCACACTTTTTTCCTAGGAGAGGAACCCTGGCTTTTGGGTGTGAGTCATCTTTGAGCTAGGAACAGCCACCAAGTGGATGATGGGGCTGGAGACCGTGGCTCCCTGTGCAGAGCTCTTGTCTCCTTTTGTTACCTGGCTTTCATTTTTCGCCCTTCGTGCTGCTCCTTACAGTTTTCCTATAGCACTAAATTGTTCTTTGGAACTTCTTTGTTGCAGGCATGATGGCCCCTCCTCCTGGAATGAGACCTCCCATGGGCCCCCCAATGGGGATGCCCCCTGGTCGAGGGGCACCAATGGGGATGCCCCCTCCTGGCATGAGACCCCCTCCTCCTGGAATGAGAGGTGAGTGGGACAGTTGCATTTGCAGTCCAGATGTGGTCAGTGTAGATTTTGTTGCTACTGTTCTTTTCAGTCTGTGCTCTCTCCTTGGGAGGTAGGCCTCTGGTATTTATGGGCCTGCACAGCAGAACAAAAGTTGAAACCATAGATGTGTTGACCAGACTTCCCTAGAAGTGATTTTAGTCAGACTCATTTTCTTGCCGTTGCTTGTGTGGGTGGGGTTAATAGCTCCACCGAGCTCTGAATCCCCTTTGCTTTCATACCCTTGGATTTTGTTTTCCAGGAAGGATTAGATATTTATTAGGTATCTGACCCTGGACCAAGTAGTTTTCCCTTTCTGAGCCTCAGTTTCTTCCACTGTGTAAAAGGGATAATAATATTACTTTTGTTACATACCTCTTAGAGCTGTTGTGATGAAAGTGCTTTGTAAACTTTAAAGCATCTTAGAAATGTGAATTGTTATGTCTATCTCATGGGACTCCCTTTGTTTCCCTTATAGGTCCCCCTCCCCCAGGAATGCGCCCACCAAGACCTTAGGATTCCTCGGCTGCTGTGATGCTGCCTCTGACTTGAGGCTGTATATAGTTTTGTGGGCTTTTTGTATAAAGTGTGCTGCTTTTAAATCGATTCATAATAAAGTCTTGGGAAAAAAAACCCAGTGTTACTGTTGGGTATTTTCTGTGCCTGTTGGAAGGGTTGGGAGGGAGTGAAGAATTTAACCCCCCTAAGACTACCCTGGTTGTTGCATGGGCTGTCCTAGAGGAGATGGTTCTTTCATCTGAGTTACCTTTATTCCTTTTTTATTTGCCTAGATGACTTTGGATGCCTCCTTCCATTATGATAACCATGAATTCAGTTCCCTGCTTTTTCCTATTACTGTCTCCAAGTTTAAGGACTTAGGATAATAATAATAACAATAGCAAGCATTTATATGGCACTTTAAGGTTTTGCAAAATGCTTTACAAATATTTCATTTGGTCTTCACAGCAGCCCTAGGAGTTAGGTGCTAGGGAGGAGGTAGGTAAAATGATCCATGTTTTACAGGTGAGGAAACTGAGGCACATAGCGGTTAAGTGACTTGCCCAGGGCCACACAGCTAATAATTGTCTGAGGCTGAATTTGAACTAATGTGTTCCAGATTCTAAGACCAGCAGTCAGTGCACTGGGCCATCTGATGATCAGTTAAACACTAAGGATATTTAACTTAGATAAGAGATTTAGCAGGGAACATGATGGCTGCCTTAAGTATTTGAAGGTTGGGATTAGATTTCTTGGCTCAAAGAGTATAACTTTGAGCAATGGATGGAAGTTATGGAATCACAGATTTCAGCTCATCTCTGGCAGTGGAATGGAGTGCCCCAGGGCACAGTGAATTTTTTGTCTTTGGAGATAAGCAGATCCTGAATGACACTTGTCAGAGAAGAATTCATCTGGTGCTCAGGGAGTTGGACAAATAGTTATGGAGCATATGTTTGGTGCCTAGACCATAGCTAGAGACTGGAGAATAGCAAAAAAATATGAGACTGTTAAGACCCTAGATCCACCCTCTTTGATTCATTGGTATCACTGAGTTTTGCTCTCCCTCTTAAACTGCCATAGGGTCAGATTTGCTTTTTCTCTCTTACACATGACACCCCGTCTCCTATCCCTGGGTAGCATTCCTGGAATGTACTCCTTACTTTTGCTTGAGAGTCCCTTTTTTGAGACAAAGCTCAACTGCCATCTTCTGCTTAAAGCCTTTCTTGGTCCCCCCCAAATGCAGTGAGGTGGTACCATAGTACATAGATCACCAGGCTTGGAGACACAAAGACCTGAGTTCAAATGTGAACTCAGGCACTTCCTAACTGTGTGAACCTGGGCAAGTCATTTATCCCCTAGGTCTGCTTCAGTTTCTTCATTTGTAAAATGAGGATCATAATAGCACCTACCTCCTAGGGTTGTGAAGATCATATTTGTAAGTTTTGCAAACCTTAAAGCGATATATAAATGCTATTATTAAGTGCTAATGTCCTCTCTTCAAACCTGCTGTGTTTGACTAATTTGTGCTTGACTTATATATTTTTCTATGTATTTGTCTCCTCCGTTAGCTCCTTGCAGGCAGCGATTTTTCCATTTTTTCTATTTCCAGGGCCCAGCACATAGTACGTGTTTCATAAGTACTTGTCAATTGATTGGTTGTAAAGGATCGCTGGTGTAGTATGAAATGGAGAGGGCTGGGTTTGGAGTTTGAATTACTGGCTCTGACACTGTGTGACCATGAATAAGCTCGTGTATCCTCTCTGAGCTTAAATTTCCTCATCTGTAAAATGGGAATAATACACTTCCTACTTTATAGGATTATGAGGAAAGCACTTTGTAAACCTTAAAGTACTATGTACTTCAGTAATTTAATCCATGATTTTGTTAGCATGGGTACTTTCTAGATTGATATCACAGTTCCTCTGTATCTTTGGTTTTTTAATAGTTTCTGTGGCTGAAAAATTAATCACTGTTGTGATGATCATCTTCAAACTTAGCTCTTTTGGCTCTTAGACAACAGATTTAGGGTCTTTGACTAGGTCCATTCTCGATTCTTTTTCATTTTGGTTGGGACCTTGTCAGAGGAGGTATCGGGCAATCATGTCCCCACCACAATAAGGACTTTTCATGGAGAAAAGTACAACATACATACAGGTTTTATTATTTATAATAGTGACAAAGGGATACTGAACTACAATCTTCGAGACTGGAAGAGGAAGAACCTGGGTGATCAGAGAGGGCTTAGTGTAGACAGTAGGACTTGGACTGGGCCTTGAAGGGTGAGAAAGCTTTACATAATCAGAAGTCAAAGTCAGTGTTCCAAGGGGGCACAACATGAACAAAGGGACAGTGAGGAGAAAAGAGGAATTCAAACAGTGTGAATGGAGGCCATTGAAGAGACCAGATTGAATGGGATGCTAAAGGCTCAGGGCTAGCTTTTGTGAAAAAAAAAAAAAAGCTCTTCATGTAGTAGTTGAAGCACCTTTATTTTTAAGGCAGAGTCAAATAATTCCTCTCACTCCTTTGGCTCTTGACAAGAGTACAGTAGGGGAAGTTTATCTTTGACAGTCTCCTCTTTCCTCTTCTCCCCAGGTACCCAATACCCCTGAAACCCTTCAAGCCTCACCTGTGCAGTGTTTCCTAGGTGATGTTCTATAACCTTTCCTCTTTTACCTGTCATTGGTGATCTGTTCTCATCTGTTAAGGAGGAAAACTGAATGATAGAGTCAGGATGTTTGAATTAGAAGTAACTTTTAGAATGTAGAACATATGAAGTCAGACCTGGAGAAGACTTCTTAGAAAGTAGTGATTTGACCAGGGTTGCTCCCTAGTAAATACCAGAACTGGTGTATAGGAGCCCAAGTTTTTGCTTCCATTTATTTACTAATTATTTTCAATAACTATTTATTAAAAGCTTACTATGTGCACAGCCCTGTAAGGCTCTGGAAGAGACCTTTGAGGTCATCTAATGAAATCTAATTGTAGATGAGGAAACTGAAGGTCCCAGATCACATAGAGTTAGTTGCAGAGTTGAGAATAGATCCCAAGTCTCGGGATTTCTAGATCAGTAATTAGCAGTAGTTACTGACCTCTGCAAAGGTTGCTTCCTGGGGTGATGGCTTTGAGGGGCTGGATTGGCATGCAGACCAGTGGGCTGGGTGGGGCAAGGGGGAACCATGTACTAGCTGTTAGAGCAGAATTGGTATAAAATGAGAGCTGGATCTGATGATCTCTAAGGTCTCTCTCTTTTAGCTAACAGTCTTTTATTTTGAGTTGTATTTATTACTAATAGCTTGTAAGCTCTATTAGGATAAGATCTTAATTATCTTTTTATATCCCTCTATCACCTAAAACAAGCTGTGGGAAGGGTAACTGCTTAACAAATGATTGTTAAATGAATTAGCAAGTGAATGGAAGTAGAATGAATGAATGAAAAAGTCAGTGTTGGGGATACAGATGAGACATTCTCTGCTGTCCCTGAGCTTATACTCTAATGGAGGAGATGACATATATGGAAGGTGGTAGGTGGTTATCCTTTGTGCTTCAAGAGGACCAAAATGATATCACTATATTGGGGTCAAGGTACAGTGTGTCAAACTGTGACTGGTCAAATTAATAAGCTCAAAAGGCTCCACCACAGGTCAGGCACAAATAGTCCATTTGAACATTTGGGATGGAGATGGCTCTGGATTTATGCATCTCCTGTTTGCTTTGTGCTACTGAGATTCTGCTTTGCTCATAAAGACAGCGACTTCTTTGATACAGGCACTTCATTCTGGGTAGTCCTGTACCCGTGTTCTCACAATCGATACCAAAGTTCTTCAGAGAGACCTTGAAAGTGTCCTTGTACCTTTTCTTCTGACCTCCATGTAAGAGCTTGCCTTATGTGAGTTTTCCGTAAAATAGTCTTTTAGGAGACATCCAAAAAAAGGAAAAGGACCTATTTGTACAAAAATATTTATAGCAACTGTTTTTGTGGTGGCTAAGAATTGGAAATCAAAGGGATGCCCATCAATTGAGGAATGGCTAAACAAGCTGTAGTATATGATTGTAATGGAATATTATTGTGTTGAAAGAAATGACAAGCAGGATAATTTCAGAAAAACCTGGAAAGACTTACATGAACTGATGCATAGTGAAGTGAACAGAATCAGGAGAACATAGTACACAGTAACAGCAACATTGTTCAGTGAAGACTTGTAACTGACTTAGCTGTTCTCAGCAATGCAATGATCTAAGACAATTCCAAAGAACTAATGATGAAGCATACTATCTGCCTCCAGAGAAAGAACTGATTGATTGAATACAGACTGAAGCATGCAATTTTTTACTGTCTTTCATTTTTTCCCTTTTGATTCTTCTTGTACAAAATGACAAAAAGGAAATGTTTCACATAATTGCACATGTATAACATATATCTGATTGCTTACTTTCTCACAGAGAGGAAGAGAGGGAGGGAGGGATAGAATTTGGAACTCAAAACTTTAAATAAAAATGGGTTTTTTTTTGGTGAGGCAGTTGGGGTTAAGTGACTTGCTCAGAGTCACACAGCTAGTAAGTGTTATGTGTCTGAGGCCGGATTTGAACTCAGGTCCTATTGAATCCAAGGGTGGTGCTCTATCCACCTAGCTTCCCCCTAAAAATGTTTTTTAAAAATGGAAATAAATAAATGCAGAAAAAAATAGTCTTTTAAGTAAACATACGTTTGGCATTTGAACATGGCCAGCCCATTGGAGTTGCTCCACAAAGGTTGCTTCCTGCTGTGGCTTTAGGGGGGCCAGGCTGGCATCCAGACCAGTGGGCTGGGTGGGGTCGGAGGGAGGCTGTCAATCCTAAGGCTCTTGGGCTCAGAGTCCAGAGCTGTACTCACTAGGGTCTTGGGTGGTGGTTGGGTGGGGGAGGGTGCTTCGACTCGCTCTGAACGTGCTGCCTTCCATCTCTCCCTCAGGGTCCCTACTTCAGCAGGGCTGGTTTTTGTCCTCCGTAGATGGCATTCGGTGGGCACGTCTGGCCCTTTTTCCACAGTGTGATGGTTGTGGAGACTGGAAGCAAGACTGATGATCTAGGGAGTTGTTTCTATTCCCAGGGCTGTTGGGTTCACCACACATTCTGAAGGAAGTTGGGATAGTTAAGGT